GCTAGAAAAAGGGGAACAGGATCCACCCACAGCGAGGGGGAGGGCGGAGCTCTCCCGGCCCTGCCCCCATCCGCGCGGCCTGGGGCGCCTCCCCGCCTCCGGTTGAGTGGGGTCTCCACTTATCTTCAGGGATCACCCCCACCTCTGCGTGCCCCACCCTGACCCGCCCCAGCCGAGCAGTCAGGTCAGGCCTGGCAAAGCGAGACTGCCGCAGCCCCTGGTGAGCCCCCCAGCCCAGCCCAGCCTGGGGCTCCCCACACCCCACCCTCACGTCTTCATCTGCGCCCGCAGCCCAGCTACCCCGCGCCCGCAGGGAGCCTGGGTCTGCAGCTCGGCCCCCAGGAGGCAGGCGGGCAGGCGGGCAGGCGGGCTGCAGGCTGCAGGCAGTGGGCCGCAGCCCGTGGACGTGGGGCGAGGTGCGGGAGGAGCCCCCCGACCAGATGCTCCCGTCTGCCGGTGCCCGCTGGTGACAGGCTGTCTTCTGCGCCTGTGGGAGGAATTGATTTCACTGGAAAATACAGACGAGGGCACAGATGCTCCTTCCCAGCCCTGCGACCTCGATTCACCGGGGCCCCTCTGAGTGGCAGGCCGAGTCCGCCGGTGGGCAGGGGCGGCTCCTTCTGAGCTCCGCTCGGGGGCCAGGCAGCCTGGGCGGAGCCGGCGCCTCACGGCTCTCACTTTCTAAGAATCCGTGTTTGTGAGGCGTCATTCCTGAGGCTGGGCTGGAAGAGCAGCTTCCTGTCCATCCAGATGGCTGCGGGGCGGGGAGGTGGGTTCTGGCTCAGCCCCGCAGCCCCCAAGGCTGGGAGCAGCCGGACCCGGCTTCCCGCCAGCCTCTGCCCCTTGCGGTCAGAGGCCCCGGTGGACGCCAACCCAGGGCTGGCTTCTGCTGCTGCCGGGGTCCTCTCTGCCGCTCCCTACGGCTGGGAGCGCTTGGTTCCGGGTCCCCCCGGCCAGCGAGCCCCCACTTCTTCCAGAACGGCAGAGCGTTCTGCTGCGGACGCCTGGCCCGTGCGGCACGACAACGGCCTTCTCGCTAGACGCTGGCGCCCGCCCGGGTCTGTGGTGCCGGGTCGCGGGCGTCTGCGGCCTCATGAGCTACTGTGTCGGGGGCCGGTGGCCAGTGCCTCAGGCGCTGCTCTGCTCAGCCCTCACCGGGTCCGGCTGGCGCCGAGCCCTGGCCTGCGTGTCCTGGACGCGGGGACTGCCCTCCGGGCAGGGAGCGGGAGGGCTGGCACCGGGCCTGGCGCTGCCCGCAGCACCCGCCCTCCCTGCCCTCCTGGCGGTCTGGCCCGAGCAGGGCAGCAGGGACTCACGCCCCTGTGAGCGGCTCGGTCTGACCGGGAGGGTCGCGGGGGCC